CCCCAAGACACTCAAACTTACCTACACTCTTGCTGTCTCCTGAAGGGGCCACTGCGTCCATGCGCACCGCCATCTCTATGGGGGGGAAAACAACGAGACAGAATGAGACAGCAAGTATGGTTCATTTTTTAACAAGATCTTTAATGGAGCTGACAATTTCAGACATGACATCCCACATGTTACTCACGACTGTGCGTATTTGTTTGAGTTCGTCTGTGACTCCATTGATTGCACTGATGGCGTCCCTCTACGTTTGCAGGACCGTGTGGGTCGGGACCCGGCCACTTCCAGGTGCGCCATGTGCTCGGGATGCATTGGTGCTGGGGACAGCCTGGCCTGTAGTCACGGTGCCAGGACACGCCGTGCTGGGAACCTCCTCGTCACCCATTGCTTCCAACTGTGGAGTGACTGAGGACACAACACATTAGTCCACGATGCCTGAACAGAAGTCTTTGTTGAAATGTTTAATTTATACATGTAATTAACTTGACTGGTTTCCTCTGTGGTCTCTGACACTACGCCACACACGTCCTAAAGATGGAGGCCATGTTGGTGTCCAGCGGTGTGGCTCAGCTGGCCCTGGCCCCCACCTGTAGCGGACACTCTCCTCTTGGCCTCCACCTTTAGATCCGACCACTTCTTCTTGACCTCTACCACAGATCTCCCTGTGGCGCTCACAGCATCTATAGCAGTGTCGACGTGCTGCCACTCACCTCTTTATCTTTTACTAATGATGCCACTATTGTGATCACCAAATAATCTGATTTTCTGGCCTCCACCTCCTCCACAAGCACCTCGATTTTGTTGTCCATGAAATTCCTTTTTGACCATTCATGGTAGAATGTGGGTGTGTGGTGAGGAGATATGAGGTGAATCCATCTGTGTAACTTCTCAGGTGGATTGTGATTTAAAAAGGGAACGTGCTTGCAGGAGTGCGTACACATGGTTTTATAAATCTGATTATTTTTTGGCGCACGCCGTTTTCAGCGTTTGGGCGTGTGCACACTTTTAATATGGATCCTACACAATGTTTTATAAATGAGGCCTCTGGTCATTTTAAAGGTTTCCTGTGGACAGCTTTGCATAAACACTCTTTATTAAACCTTTCAAGGCTGTCTGCAGGGCTTTCAGTGACAGGCTGCAATGTGAAGAATTTTCACTCAACATTTTAAACTTTCTTTAGACTCTTGTTCTTTGGTATCTGTGGTCACACAGAGGCCCTGAAGCATCTTAAAACTTCTGGGGAAAAAAAGGACATCAAAGGCTTGTGTTTGTGTTCAGACTAATTTCATTTGCTGCTGTTTTAGGTCATCTTGTGTCTCTGTGTAATGATCTTGCATGTCGTTGTAGTTTCTGATTTAAAAACCTCTCTGTGGTTATTTTGCATGTTCTGTGATATATTTAATCTTTCAGGGCCTGTGTAGGTTTGCTGTGTGCTGTTGTGGTCACTTTGTGGTTATTCTTTATACTTCTGTTCCTGTTCTGCAGCTTTTTTGTTGTTGTTGTCATTTTGCATCTCTTTGTGATGATCTTGCATGTCTTTGTGCTAGTTTCTTATTGTGCATTTCTCCAGGGTTGTCTTGCTTGTTTTGTGTTTGCTTTTAATCAGTTTGTGGTAATTTTGTGCATCTGCCTTGCTGTCCCTTTTAAGCTTGCTTTGTCTAATTTTGTGGTTGTTTTGTGTGGTTTTGTGATGACTTTGTGTGTGTTTCTTATAGTTTTGCTGCTCTTTTTGGTCATCTTGTGTCTCTGTGTAGTGATCTTGCATGTCTTTGTAGTTTCTGATTACAAATCTCTCTGTGGCTATTTTGCATGTCTCGTGATATCGTTTAATCTTTTGGGGACTCTATGTGTTTGTTGTGTGCTTTTGTGGTCATTTTGTGATTATTTTGTGTATTTCTGTTGCTGCTTTGCAGCTCTTTGTTGTCATTTTGCATCTACTTGTAACAATCTTGGATACCTGTGTGCGAGTTTCTTGTGCATCTCTCCAGGGTTATCTTGCATGTTTTTGTGTTTGTTTTTAATCTCTTTGTGGTCTGTCTTGCTGTCTCTTTGTGCTTGCTTTGTGTAACTATATCATTATTTTGTTGTTTTGCTGTTTTTGGTCATCTTGTGTCTGTCTTTCTGTTTCTTTTGTGCTTGTTTTTTTGGTAAAGTTTGTGTGTTTTTGTGATTATTTGTGTGTGTTTGTTGTTTTGCTGCTTTTTTTTGATCATCTTGTGTCTCTCTGTAGTGATCCTGTATACCTTTACAATTTTTTTTCTGATTTTGCATCTCTCTGTCGTAATTTTACACATTTTGCGTTAGTTTTTAATCACTTTATGGTCATGTTTATCCTTCTCGTAGGTGTTTATAGCCTTGACTTCTTCCACAAATCTTTTTGTTGCGTCTCTCTAACAGCTGAGTCAGGACCTCAGTGAGTTTTCACTCCTCACTATAGACAAAGTGCACATTTAAAATTGCCCCTTTACTCCTCCTGCAGTGAGATAAAGGCTGTTAATCTACCTGCCTGCATCAGATGCTCTCAATAGAAAACGTGACACAGCTCCTCACCACTGCTGCCTGCCATTCGCCCAATGGGCCAATCACAGCGTTCTGGTTTTGTAATTCATGTGACGCTGCAGTCTCTGGCCAATCAGAGAGCAGACACGGTGAGCCCCAGCCCTCTGGCCACGCCCCCCTCCGAGTGTTGGTTTTCATTTGACAGCAACTAAACTTTGTCCGAGTCTCCGCAGCTGCGCGTCTAATTTACCCTCGAAAGCGGCGCGTTTGTTTTTTAGCCTCGTTTCAGCCGTTCACTTTGGATTATACTCTGAAGATGGAATAAGGAGTCATCATGGTGGTGAATTCGGTGCACTGGTTTCGCAAAGGTCTACGGTTGCACGATAATCCGGCGCTGCAGGAGGCCCTGAACGGAGCGGACACGGTGCGCTGTGTTTATATCCTGGACCCGTGGTTCGCTGGCGCCGCTAATGTGGGAATCAATCGATGGAGGTCAGTGGCTTTTTCTCCGTCATTGACTCCTTTAAACCCCCTTAAAACGTAGTAAATGGAGTTAACGACACTGTTGGGGTCGCCATTTGTGTGATTCGTTGCCCTATTAATGAGCAGACTGGGAGTTTAGGTTTGGGCCTCCGCTCCACGTCAGTTAGCTAGCATAAAATGGAGCGGTCCATGGCGGACTCCATTGAAGAAACTCACAATGTTTGACTATCCTCGTCTATCAGCAAAACATCCCCTCTAACCATCTTACAACCATTTTGCTCAAACTGGTAATACCCACCGAGTAATTCGGCACACGGTTAAACTGTTCACCAGCTGTTTAACGTGATTATAAAGTTAGCTAACACTTAGCAGAGCTGCTTTACATGTTCAACATCGCGCAGTTTTTCTCGCAGCAGTTCGGTGGACAGCAATGGTAACAACACAACATGCTGTTTTCATTTTATTTAAGCACATCCGCCCTAATAATGCAAACGCAGAATGATATAATATGTGGGCAGGATTTGGTGAATGCATTTTGCTGTAAACATGCAAACAGCACGTGTAATGGGGGAGCTCCGTGCAGAACACCGTAGAAGAAACGTGCGATTTTATGTAATTGTTGTATCGACGCAACGTAATTAATTATAACAAAACCACCTGTTTAATTCAACCAGGACTGCCCAGTGCTTTGTTTGGCATGCGTCCTAGTTGTTCTGTTATTAAGTTCTTTCAAAAAAAAAAAAACCTTTAGACAACTCTTAGAAGTTTTGCCGTTTTTCTCACAGCAGTTTGGTGGAAGAAACTGAAGGTGGTTCTAACTCTCAAAATGCAGTTTTTCATATTATTTAACCAAGTCCTGCTTGATAATGCAGCACAGAATGACTAAATATGTGGGCTGGATTTGGTAAATGCACATTTCTATAAACATAGAAAAAACAGTTGGAATATAAATTTAGTGAAGCACGAATTTGTGGTGCTTTGTATTGATGATTTTCTTTTTCTTACACTCTGTACCTCTTCAAAATGAGGATTTGTGCACATAAACAGATGAAGAGTCTATGAAACGTGATGCTGTTTCTACCCGACAGTAAACAAACAGAGCTGCAGGGCTGCAAACACAACTTTTTAGTGCAATGACTGAAGACAAATGCTCCAAATTTCAGGATTCCTGCTTCTCAACGGGGCGGTTTGCTGCTTTACCTCTGAAATATGTCAATAGTTTTCATTGATTGTTAATAATGTTTGTGTTTTGCTTTAGTTCTGGGTAACTGTGATTGCATTTCTCACCTTTTTTTTGAACTTTCACAAACAGCTGAAATGAATCGCCGGATTAATTAGAATAATAATTTGTTAATCAGACTCTTTTAAAACATTGTTGAAAACTATTCCTCTATTTTAAGGCCTTCTTCTAACTGGTGTTATTGTGGTTATGCAATTTAGATCTTCATGTTTTGCTTTGTTGGTCTGGTAGGTTTTCGGTTTTTGCATTGTGGTTATGAATGCCTGTGAACAAGAGAAAAGTGGGACGTAACTGATTAGTTTAATTTCATTCTCATTTCAGAAGCCAATTTTTTTTAATGCCCTTAATTTAACATTTCCAACCTTTTCCCTCTAGAATAAGTTTATTTATTGTTAAAAAAGTTAACGTTCCTGCTGTTGTGTTGGTCAGAAGTGTTGTGATGGTTCCACTCTGGTTCTCTGCGGTGACATTTCTCCAGAAGATCATCTGCAGGTGCATCAATAATTAAAATAATCATTTGCAGCCCCACACAGAATCACTAAAATTAGCTCGGCGCATCCAGCCGTATGAACGCATCCATATTTATGATCTCCTTTTAAAACATAGATCATGTTTGGGTTTTTTTAAAATCATTTTGGATCCCCGAACCTTTAAGAGAAGCTGCTCAACTGAAACACATGATTTATATCCGGATTGTTTGTTTAGTGAGAATTAGGGCTGCAAGTGAGGGTTTGTTTTCTTAATCTTCATTAATCAATTAGTTGTTGGTCTAAGAAATGCAGGGAAAAATGTTGATTAGTGTTTCCCAAATTGCAAAATGACAAAGTCTTGTTTTTTCAGATATTCAGAACAATCTTTACTTTCAGGAAGCTAGAATCAGAGAGTTGAGTTGGATCCATTGAATCCGGCTGAGTGTCACCTGAACACCGGCTTTAATCAAACGGCTCGAGGGAATCTGACCTTTGCACAAAGGAGTTAACGATGTCACTGATCTAATCACGTCTGATTGATGACAGACAAACTGGGTCTGAAATTCTTCTTCTTCTTCTTCTGTGTCTTTACTAAATGTTCTCTTAAACTTCCTGATAATTTCCAGACTTGCATTTAAATCAGACACATTTTTGACGAGCTCCCAGCGCGGCTGCACAGCGTCGGAAAAAAACACTGACGTAGCGATATTTAGTTTTTCCATGATATGAAAAAATACACAGATTTTCACCAGATGACTCGATTAACTCTGTTTGGAAAGAATTAATCACTGCCGACTGATTGCTGTGATTTCTTGTGGGAGTGCATCTGCACCAAAAAACCAACGATCTAAGAAAAGCAGAAGAAGCCCATTTGGAAGCTTTCTAATATGGTGTAATGCTGGAAAAAGAAGCCAAAATGTTATTTCTTTTTTCTTATTTTTTGCTTTGGATGACATTTAGGTCTGGCTTCGTGCTGCTCGTACAGAACTTTAAATGGTCAAACTGTTCTTATGTGGCGGCAACAACCGCCAGGAATCGTTTTTGGTCGACATCATCGTTTCTGTAGCTGAAATATTTCCATAAAACTGCAGAATTATGACCCAAATTATAATCACAATTACCTGGATGAGCCCTGAGATCATGATTTTTGGAGAGAAAATGTTTTTATTGCACTTTCCTTTAAATAAACGGAGCACTAATTTCACGTCCACGTTGGGCTACATTCCTGCTAATGCACCGAAATAAGACTCTAAGAGGCAAAATATCTATAAAAATGCAGTGAAAACTCTTCACTGGCTGAACATCTGCTTATAGATAAACGCTGCAATGTACAGACGTTCCTTAAACGCCTCACGTGCAGCATATAGTGGAAGCTACTGAAACTTCTCGTCTCTATCAGGTCCTGCAGCAGCTCAGACTGCCGTGAGACCAAAAAATACTTTAAAAAGAACGAAATAATTGTTTCTAACATCAAATTTACCTGAAACCAGTTGGTTTTCTCTCCACAGGCTGTTGTCGGTGAGCATTTTAAACCCCAGTAGTACAATCGATGGTGTTTATTTGAATGCAGGAAACCAAAATTATGGTCGTAGTTAATATTCCATTAATTGTGCAGCCCTACAAATGATGTTGCATTGGGTTTTTCTGCAGCCAGATCTTCCTTTTCCAGTGTTTCTCTCCTGTTCCTTGTTTGTTTGGCTGTGCACATGTGGAGCATGTGCATGTCAACAAACTCTTCTAAGTAAATCTAAACCAGTGAACCTTACATGGGAGTGAATGAAGTTCTCGCTCACAGATCAGTTGCACAAAATTACGACTGCAAGTTTAGTTTCTGTGTCAAGCAGCAAAAACATCGTAGTGAGATGTTTTTGTGGTAACTTGTGTCGCTCCACATTGCACCTCGAGTGATATGACTGTTGCAGGACATGTCGGTTTTGATGCTGAAATGATAATTATTTGTGCATCCTTTGCTCTTAGACTTCCGTTTATCTTCTAACCACCAAGGAGCAGACCACAGTAACCGTCTTCAGATTGTTTTTATGCGACTAACAATCAGAAACACACATCTATGTAAAGATGCAGATGTTTAGCTGCTTTATTTAGTTCAGCAGGTCAGTTTTAAAATGTCAGGAACAACTGATCGTGTACGGCCACAGCAAGCAGATGAGAACCTGCAACGCCTCCACTGGGCTGTGGGTGGAGGGTATTTCTGACTTTCTCCTGCTGTTGGTCTGTGCAGGTTTCTGCTGGAGGCCCTGGAGGACCTGGACAGCAGCCTGAAGAAGCTCAACTCCAGGCTGTTCGTAGTCCGAGGGCAGCCCACCGACGTCTTCCCCAGGCTGTTCAAGGTCGGTAGTTCTGCCTGCTGCTGCTGTTGCTGCTGCTGCTTCTTTTTCACAGAGAAAGTTCTGGATCTGTAGAACCAGGATGCCAAGAGAGAACCCCTGATTTCTGTTTTTAGTGGGACCATGTAGGTCAGGCAGAAATACGCTGGATGACTGGGCGCAGCGTCGTATCGCAAATATTTATTCAGTCCAACAGAATTACACGAGTGAAGGTGCAAGCTTTTTATTTGGTTTTGACGTGTTTGTCTCGTCCTCTGATGATGACTTCAGGTTCTGGAATCTACGAATCAGCTCCTCAGGTCCAAACTTTTGTCTTTTTTGTTTGTAAATGTGGTTCAGGAGCAAGAGCTGAGCTGATTCTGGTTCTGTCGGGGTCAAACATTCAACAGCTGTGCCAAGAAATAACATTACTAGAACGATATCTGACTGTTGTCCAGCTGCCAGTAAAGTAAAAAGAGAATTATTAGCTGCTGTTGTTGTTTTGTGTGCGATCGGTGTGGACACGCTGCTGTCGTGAGCTTCGGGCGTGTTCACGAGTAGATTCTGTTGCACCTTTTTTAGCCACACCTGCAGAAACAATGATGTCACGATGAAGTGAACTCACCTTCTGGAACATTCCAAAAACCTCAACCATCCACCTCCACCGCACACACACACAAAAACAGTAATGATAAAGTCACAAGCAAAGCCACAACAACACATTCAAACTAATAAATCCAAACAAAACAAAACAAAAAAAACCCCAAAGACTTAAAGAAAAAATCCAGATAGAACAAAAAAACGAATTTCCTCGGAACAAATCCAGACAATAAATCCAAACGGACAAATCTGAATCAGTCCAAAAGACCCTCAAGAAATCCAGTTATATCCAAACAAATAGGATCAAATAAATCCAGATAAATAAATGTAAACAAATCCAAACCAACAAATCTGATCAAATAAATAAATAAATCCAAACAAATCTATCTAATCCAATAAATCCGTACAAATAAATCCAACTAAATCCAAACACAACACAAAAATGTACAAATCCAAATAAATCTAATCCAGAAAAGCCCCTCAACAAATCCAGTTAAAGTAAAAAAACAAAAAAAAACCCAACTACATAAATCCAAACAAATACTTCCAGAGAAATCCCAACAAATCCAAACAAATATGTCCAATCCAATAAATCTGATCCGGTAAATCCAGATAAATAAACAAATAAATGTAAAAAAATCCAAACATTTAAATCAGATTAAATAAATCTGATCAACCGGATAAACCCAAATACATAAATCCCAACTCACAATTCCAGATATATTCAAATCCATTCACTCAAATCCAAACAAATGAATCCAACAGAATAAATCCAGATAGATAGATGTCAACAAATCCAAACAAACATGTGTACTCCAATAAATACAAACAAATAAACACAACACAATGCAATCCTAGCTCACAATTCCAGATATATTATTAAATATATTTAATCAAATCTAGACAAACAAATGTAGATTTTATATAAATAAATTCAAACAAGCAATTCTACATTAATAATAATTAAAAAAAAATACAAATAAATAAATAAAAATAGAAGAAATGCAAACTTATAAGTATAAATAAATCAAAACAAACCAGATGTAGGGGATGCTCCACGGAGACACACCTACTAAAAAGTATTAAATGTTTGAATAATTTAATTTGGTCTAACTGGGGCAATTATGGGGCAAATATATATATAAATAACAACAATTAATATGAGTTTTTTCCCCTCCAGAGGTTTCTTGGGTTGGACTTTTCTTCCTCTTTACTCAATGAGCTGGTCAGCGTTGTGTTTAGTTGTTGTGTTTTAGGACACTCAGGAGGAGTTTGTTTTTATTGTTTGTTGTCATGCAGCTTGTTGTTGTTGTTGTTTTGCGGCCGAGGTGCGGCTCTCTGATTGGAATTCATGAGCCTGAACGGCCGCAGACACACAGAGAGCTGCCGGCGCTGGCTGTCGGTTTTCCTGTTCGTCTGCGTCGAGGCTTCCTGAAGCAGCTGCAGCCGGCGTTCACATTCATGCGGCGATCGGTTCCAGGCAGAGATGAGCAGTTCAGACCGTCATCATCTCTATGCAGCAGCCCTTACATAACGCGTTGCCGCTTTTCCATTATATTCCACGGAAACTCGACGGTCTGCAGGTTTGTTGTTTTTTTTTTTAGTCTGACCGAACATATGGTCGGCTGCAGAGGCCCTGCCAGGTACCACGTCATGGCTGGGACTTACATTTCCCACTTGGGGGTTGAACAAGCCGGACCGCCGCCGTCCTCCAGACCGACCCGCGACTAGACCTCATGTTCTCCTTGTTGCTGTCGTGTGTTCGGACTCTTTTGTTTAATGCGTCTGGGCAGAGACGGGACGTTTGGATCATGTAAAAGTTTCCTCCCCAGCCTGTCGTCAGCCGCCCTGACGTCAGCTCCCTGCGGAAGCTTTTTCATTTGCATGTCCAGAAGTGTAATTACACAACCGACAATCATATTTTTCAAGACGGCAGTGAATTATGGGGTTGTATAATCCGTGATTTCCACCCTGTTTTTATTCAGATTTACCCCCCCGGCACCCTCTTATCAACGCCTTATGTGTTCCAAGTGTGTTTATTGGATTTCATTTTCATCTAAATGTTGTTTAACACCTCTAATTATGTAAAATCGATATTATTACAGTGTTTTATTCACGTGTTTGTAAGCAGCGAAGAGGCACAACTTGTGCGTTGAAGCCACGTGTCCGTTACATAAAGCTGATTTTTAACCATGTTTTCCGTTTCCTCTCGCTAAAGCTGTTCTAAATATTCATCCATCCCGTTATTCGAGCCGTCTGTTCATCCAACATTTAGTTATTTCAGCCGTTAAGGACATTGCTAATAAATACTATCATGCTTAGTTTGAAAGTTATTGATTTGCAAGCTAATTATTTGGGACTATTAGCTAACTATATAAGGTTATTTTATACTGTTCGTGATGTTTTGCTGATTTATTTTTGGAATTTGGCTATTTTTTGCTTTCAACATTTAATCCATTTATTTTTAGCTAATAGTTACTTTTAGCTAACCATTTAATCTGCTACTTTTAGCAAATTATTTATTATTTTTAACTAACAATTAATTTGTCACCTTTAGCTAACGACTTATCTGTTGCTTTTCATTAATTATTAATTGTAACTAAACATTTAATCCATTATTTTTTGGTCTAAATTACTTTTATTGAGGCCATTTAATGCTACAGTTAGCTACTTATTTAATGCTTGCAGCTAACATTTAATACTTCACCTTTAGCTAATGACAACATTTAACTAAGTGTTCTTTGTTAAGTTATTGTTTTGCCGCTAGCTAACTATTTAATTATATAACCTGTCATCGTTAACTAACTGTATATAAATTTTAGCTTAGCATTTATTCCATTATTTGTAGCATTTACATTTAATCTGTAACTTTTAGCTAACATTTATTGCGTCACCTTTAGCTAACAACTTACTTGTTACTTTTTCTGAATTATAATAATAACTTAATGTTTATTTTTGGTCTAAATTACTTTTATTGAGGCCATTTAATGCTACGTTTAGCTAGTTATTTAATGCTTGCAGCTAATATTTAATACTTCACCTTTAGCTAATGACTACATTTAACTAACTTTTCTTTGTGAAGCTATTTTTTGCCGCTAGCTAACTATTTAACCAGTCATCATTATCTGTTTTTCAGCTATATGTGAATTTTAGCTTAGCATTTACTCCATTGTTTGTAGCGTTTACATTTATCTGTAAGTTTTAGCGTGTTTAACATGTAAGTGTTTAACATTTATTACATCACCTTTAGCTGACAACTCTGCCTGTATGTTTTAATGATTTATGGATTTTAACTGAAAATCTCATCCATTAGTTTTTAGCTTTTTATTAATTCTAGCTAGCTTTAAACCCATAACCTTTAGCTGCTTATTTTAACCATTCAGTCACTACTTAGGAACGGCTGCTGCCTAGTTTTAATGCATTTTAAATCACCACAGTTACAAATGACTCGCTGCAGATGTTTTCTTTGTTAATCAAATTGTAATTTCATGTTTTTTTTTTCACATTAGCTGAGCTAATTTTTCCACATGGAAACTGGAGCACATGGAGCTCTGATTGGGAATGACTGAGGATGTGTTGAGAGGCTGAAGTGTTATTTACTTCATGTTCACTCCTGGTGGTTGATTAACAACAGAGCAGAACTAGAAGACATCAGTTTCTATTTATCGTACAAACTCCGGTCATATCGTCGTCGTGTGTGAAGCTGCAACAAACCACATGTTGTGTTGAAGCCAGACGCTGGAGCGGTTCCAGGATCGGAGCTGTTTGATGCTTTTGTTTTTACCTTCTTTTTATTATTCTGCCTCCCTTTCATGTCCTGGTTCTGTTTCCTCGCCGCAGGAGTGGAACGTGACCCGGCTGACGTTCGAGTATGACCCCGAGCCTTATGGGAAGGAGAGAGACGGCGCCATCATCAAGATGGCCCAAGAGTTCGGAGTTGAAACCGTGGTCAGGAACTCGCACACCCTCTACAACCTGGACAGGTTCGGACCCACACTCGGTTGTTTTCTGTTGAGCTGTTTCTGTGGTCGTTCTTATGTCTTTTTTGGGGGGAATTTTATGTCTTTGGTTTGTGCTGCATTCATGAACTCTCCAAACATCGTCGTATCATCTGGGTTTTTCAGTGAGGACGATGAGGGTTTGTATAGATTTATGTGCTCCAGATTCTCTTTGTTTTATTTATTTTGGTCTAATTATTGTCTGTACTCGCTGGTGCAGTCAAATCTCATCATGGAAATATGATTACATCTGCATCCTCTAGTTGATCAATTAATCAGCTGACAAACTGCAAAAGGTGTTGGTGACTAAATTGATAACTAAACAATCATTTAAGTTATTTAATACATAAAAAACCTTTAAAAAAATGCCAAATAGTTGCAGATTTTAACACCAGAAACAAGAACATATGCTGTTGTTCTTTGTCTTGTAGCAGCGTAAACTGAATATTTTGGGTTTTTTATCAACTTTAAGTTAAATAAATGAAGAAGTACAGAGTGAAGAAGGCCTGCGTGCTATTTTAAGAACTTCTTTTAAAAAAACGAGAAGTGGCAAAAACACACATCAGATAGAAACGATGATTCAGAGCCAAATATCTTCATGTAGCTGTGACCTTGTGTCGAGCGGATCTACAAGATTGTTTTGCAGTAAGGATTTACGTGGAATTGTTCGCTCCAGATGTGATTTATTTAATTTGTTTTGATTTATTTATTAGTTGTACTCGGTTGTGTGAAAAAATCAGCCCCCATTAGTAGAGCAGCTCGTTTTATCAGCAGCTCTTAAAAGGTTTTTAGAAGCATTAAATCCTCTTTTATAAACAAACTAACATAGAAGGTGTTTTAAAGTCTCAAAAGTGATTCATTAATGCCTTTAATGTTTATTCTTGTCTGCTGTAACATTCGCTGCTGGGAGGCTCGTAGACCAGCAACAGACCAGCATTGATTCTAGAGAGAACTTTAAATTAATGTTTAAATGTGTTGATTTATTCAATAATGTTCTGACACTGAAGTGGGTCCAGGGTTGATTATGTCTCTGACAAGAGGAGTTGGTTGTTTTGTGCCTCTTTGTGGTTGTTTTCTCATTCTGTTGTGTGTTTTTGTGGCTGTTTTGTGTCTTTGTGGTTATTTTGTGCGTCTTTGTGGTTGTTTTCTCGTTCTGTTGTGTATTTTTGTGGTTATGTTGTGTCTTTGTGGTTATTTTGTGCGTCTTTGTGGTTGTTTTGGTCTGTTTGTGGTTGTTTCATGTCTTTTCGTAGTTGTTTTGTGTTGTTTTTGTAGTTGTTTGGGTCTGTTTGTGGTTGTTTTGTGTCTCTGATTTCTTTGTGTTGCTTTGTAGTTGTTCTGGGTGTCTTTGTTGTTTGTTTTGTGTCTGTTTGTAGTTTTTTCGTGTCTGTTTGTGGTTGTTTTGTCTCTCTTTGTGGTTGTTTTGTCTCTCTTTGTGGTTGTTTTGTCTCTCTTTGTGGTTGTTTTGTGTCTCTTTGTGGTTAGTTTTGGTCTATTTGCGGTTGTTTTGAGTCTATTTGTGGTTACTTTGCTTCTCTTTGAGGTCATTTCCTGTCTTTTTGTTGTGGTTGTGTGTCACCTAGTTACTTTTTTGTGGCACTTTTGTGTTGTCTTGTAGTCGTTTTGTTTGTAGTCTTAATTTAAAGCGACCCGTTGACTCCTGGAGCCTCCGGGGTGATGTCCTGTACACCTGCTCTCTAATCCATACGTGTGTCCAGGTCGTTTTAATTGTTAATTCACGGTTACATAATAATGTAAATGTTACATAAATGTTAGTAGATAAACATGTCGGTCCTATTTCCTGACGGTGTGATGGTGAACAACGGCGTTCTGTGTGGAGTCAAACAGGCTGAATGTGGTGAAGGTGTTTGAAGCAGGTGTGTTGAGGCGTCCTGGAGCGTAGTTTATACAACCAGCAGCAGCACATGCAGCAGAGCCCCCCGGTGGCCGGCTGCCGCCACTGCAGGTCACACCTCGGTCCATGTGCCGGCGTCAGGTGGTTTCAGTGAGTAAGAGTGGAGGACTTTCTCCCTCCACAAGCCTCTCTGTGTCTGTCAGGCTGCGTTCAGTGTTACAGCACTGCGTTGCATAATGGTTGGAATATTACTGGCCTGTGTGAGGAGGCCGTCTGAGGCAGCTTAGCTTTGTGTCGGCGCTCAGCTGCACGGTTTAAATCGGTCGCCGTGGACATGTGCCCGGCTTAGAGCGCTCATTCACGCCGCTCGCAGGCGGGTCGGCCAATGGGAGGCCGCCGCCGACCCGCCAACAACAGCGGCGGTGGCGCAGGACGGAATCACAGATATAGACGAGTTGTATAAGATGGAGACTATAAATACGGCGGCACAGACCTGAGAGGTTCGTCGCTTCAGCTCATCGCTGCACATACCTGAACTTTAACACGTCCAGCGCCGACCGGCTGCTTAATGAATCAATCATACGCTCAAATCTGATTACAGCTGTAGTTCATGAAGTTTTACATCAGCAGGAAGTTATCTGGGAGCTGTTTGTATTCATTTTTAAAGTAAAAATAGTGAAAAAATACCAAATATTCGCAGTTTTAATCAAGATTTCCGCCTTTTTCTTTATGCACATCACTGTAAACTGAATATTTTTACTTCTGCTCAAACAAAACAAAGCATTTGAAGAGTTTTCGGGACTAAATGATGGATTTCTTTGCCCAAAATGCCCAAAATGTGTCGATTCCAGCTTCTCAGATGTGGTCATTTTAGGCATATATATATATACATATATATATATACATTTGTTGGTTCTGGGCTGCTGCTTGGACAAACATTGGAAGACCGAAGCAATGTTTTATTGTTTTAAGGGCTAAATAAAAAACTTTATAGTCAAAAACATGTGATGGTTCCAGCTTAAATGAGCACATTGGTCAGGCATCTTAAAGCACAGAGCGTAGGAGGTTGTATTTATTTAGATTTGAGAATTTAGTTTGAAGACATGAGACATGAGAACACTTAAAGCACTTTCTACTATTTTCTAGGCTCTTCTCTGTAAACTTAATAATCTGCTAATTGAGAAAACAGTTGTCAGATTAAGTGAGAATGGAAATAGTTGCTTGTTGTGACTTACATTTAATACAAATACGATCATATTTAGGGCAGAAATTAACAATTATTTTAACTTAATAGTAATAATTTGCAGAGCTGCATGTGAAACATCAAATGTGCTTTTTGTTTGTTTTGTTATTTGAGCAGTTTTGTCCTAAAACTGGACACACGTTCATTTTAAAGTGATAAATGACAAAGAATGACATGAAATCTACACATTTAAAAAGCTGGAACCTGCAAATGTTTGGTTGTTTTTGCCCCCCAAAAAAATCATAATTTAATGATGAAACATCCAAAAATAACCACAGAAATGTCGTTTTGTTCAACCAGAAGTCATAAAAGTTTAGAATTTTTAGTTGACTCATGATTTTTGACTAACGCTGCACAGTTTTGGCATTTTTTTTTACCATTTCTGCTTTAAGAAATCACTGCATCGATCAATGTATTATCCTAATCGATCGATTCTTTCAACTTTACACAATCAAACTTTAATGACACACTTTGACAAACTGCTGTAAAGCTTTAGTTTTTTAAATGTTATGATGTAAATGTGGTTTTCATGTTTATTGAGCTCATGATACCGACTTCTAACCGTCAGTTAACTTCATGTTGTTCCTCTGAATTGAATTAAAAGTTCTCGTGGTTTTCAAACATCTGAGGATTAATTTAGTTTTTTTTTATTTTTTAAGGTTTTTTTCTTGATTGTATTTTGATTCTTGCAGAAGAAGGAAAGTTGCTTCTAAAGATGGAAAACTCTGATTTAAGAGTCAATTTTCTAAAAGTCTTGAAGTTCTCTTGTGTCTAATATTTAATGATAACGAGCTGCTGGTTCTGTGTTTCATCTCGTTTCTTTTCTGGTCTCAGGATCATCGAGATGAACAACAACAGTCCTCCTCTGACCTTTAAGCGTTTCCAGACCATTGTGAGTCGACTGGAGTTGCCACGGAGACCCCTGCCTCCCATCACGCAGCAACAGATGGACAAATGTCGCACGAAGATAGCCGACAACCACGACCTGCTGTACAGTATACCCTCACTGGAGGAGCTCGGTACGCACGTTTTACGTCTGATTTTTAGTGTATGTAAAGATGTGTAGCTAAACGGTTGAAGCAGGTAAAGTTGTCTTCATCGGACACCAGCTGCTTTGTGTTGGAGCTGACTCCCGTGTGGGCTGTTTGCAGGTTTCAGGACGCAGGGTTTAGCTCCAGCTGTGTGGCGAGGAGGAGAGTCGGAGGCCCTGGACAGACTCAACAAACATCTGGACAAAAAGGTAAAAAAAAAAATATGAGCTGATGTTGAAGTGACGACTCTAATGCTTTGTGCTTTACTGTCCAACACCGTGGCTGCAACTTTACTCTTGGGTTTTTAGCCCAGTTTATTTGTCGGCACGCTTGTTTTTTGTCTTTTGGGATGGATAGTGTACCAGAAATGCTGAAGTAGGGATGGGTTAGGAGGATATGTGTGGCTTGGATTGCTATAAAACTCCAAGCTGTGTTCATCTTAATGCAAATATTACGTCCACAAAGTCAGAATAAGTCAAAGAATAAAATAAAAAATGAGCAAAATTATCACTATATTAGAGAAAGAACGTAAATTTAAGTATTAAATAAGCACAAGAGCAGAGTCAAACATGGTGTTTTGTGTTTATGGGCAGTGAAATTGGATTATGTCTTTAAGTTTTAATAATCTTCTGGTTATTATTTGTGGATTCAGACCACTTTCTGTACATTTTACTGTGTCGCAGATTAACTTTGCACGGCTCCAGAGCGCAACCAGTTTTTGGTAATTTATCAGATCTGTCGATGTGAAAGATAAAAACGCTTCAGTTTCAATTAAAGCTGACATTACAACGATAGAATAGAATAGAATGCTTTTATTGTCATCATACACAAGGTACAACAAAATTAAAAGACAACTCCAGTGGTGCAGACGTATAAAAGTAAAAATATAAAAAGACAAAGAAGAATATATACATATATTTACAAAAGGAGCCAATAGGAAGTATATACAGCTAGAATAAATATATTGCACTGTTGAGGTAGGAACACTGTGGATAAATGAATAAATAAATTTGGTTGCAAAAACAAAATGACGTTGTTCCTGGAATGTTAATCATGATCAGGATTTTTGCTTCCTGCAACTAAAGAGTCGGTCGCTGATGTTTAAAATGCTCGTAGAAAACAGCCCGTCGTGTTAAAATGACCTGATGTGGGTTAATTTGATTTTAGAATCCTTCTTTTCAAATGAAGTTTTGGTCTCTCGGCCGTCTGAGCTGCTGCAGTAACTGACGGAGACGAGAAGCTTTTCAGCATCGTTTACTCATGCAGAATTGTAGTTTCTCCCTTTTAAACTGCACTAGTTTCCGCATGCACGTCGGTTTTGTGGCGCCACCACAAACATATTGTAAACCTGTGGGAAACACTTCGATGTGAAACCTCCAGCGTCATGCATTTCCTGCTAAAGCGTCTGAATATAAAAATGTCTCCTTTAAAATCATAAATATTGCTTTTGTGGTGAAAAGGTGTGGCGGCACCACTGCAGCTAAAGTAAAGAAGTTAGTCTGGAGTCTTGTTTTAAGTGGATTTTTTTCCAATGCGTTCGGAGAAATTTTTTGCAGATTTATTGGACATCACAAACAAAAGTCTGTCATTTACTGCAGACTTCAGAGGCTTCATGTGGACGGTGAATGCAGATGACCAACACTATAAACTCAGAGTCCAGCTGTGTCATTTTAGTCGTACTTAAGAGGCTCTGCAGACTCGTCGTTCCACCCAGCCGGCCCCAGAGGCTGGGTGGAACAACAAACCACATGTTATTGGTTGGGTGAAGCAATTTGTTGCTTAGTGACAAAATTAACAAACAAAGCGGTGATGATACAAAGAGGACAGCTCGTGGGTGCTGCTGACAATCGATGAACCAAATCAAACCAAACGAAGGCTCGCAGAGTTACCAGAGTAAACAAAACAACTAAAAACTGCTGAGCCAGACTTAAGCACAATAGCAACACCCATCACCAAGAAAACAAAACGAGTGCCTCAGAACACGGAACACCACGAAGACAACACAAGTTACAGAGAACACAAAGACAAGAGGCACCAAGGTGAACTGACAAAAACCAAAGCCCCAGCCACAGATTACGTGTATCATGAAGGTGGTTTTCAACTGTTGTGGTCGACTCAGACTTTCTGCCTCAGACTCTGTTCACATGAAAGGAACCACGTGACTCTTCTTCTGCACTAAATGAACCGATCGTGTGCAGCTGCTTCAGTCAACATGTTGTTTTAATGGAGAACAATGAGGAATATAAAAAACTATGACGGTAAAAAGCGCTGCTACTGCAAATGATGCGAGACAGGAATGCTGGTAGAAAACTGTTTAACGTGTACATATCTAATATTTTACTGATGCAGCCGCTTATATCCAACTGACAGCTGCACGATAAAACAGTTTAACTTTAAACTTCATACATTTAAACATGATCGTGTATTGAAGTGCATTCAGGTCTGACATTGTCCCATAATGCAGGAAATCACTCTTATTTTTGGCCAAATCAGAGCAAAATTAATGTTATTGATTAAATATTTTCTGTAATAAATACCAGTAGAATAGTCTGGTTTCTAACCTGTGTTCTGTCAGCTGCAGCAGCAGCAGTTTTAAATGAACCAAACATAAAAACATATTTATGTGATTTCCCTCAACTGAGAATCTGTATCGCTCATAAATAATAGTCAGGAAACGATCTGGTTGAAGGGAGACGCTCTTTCAGCTGATTTAAATCTGAAACTCTGAACATAACCTGGACCAGGTTAGCTCCACAGCATCAGTTACCATGGAGATCTAGCTCC